GAAAGAATATCCAATGGAAAAAAGACAGTCTGTTCAACAAATGGTGTTGGGAAAACTGGACAGCCACATGCAGAAGAATGAAATTGGACCATTTCCTTACACCATACACAAAAATATACTCAAAATGGATGAAAGACTTAAATGTGAGACAGGAATCCATCAAAATCCTTGAGGACAACACAGGCAGCAACCTCTTCGATTTCGGTCGCAGCAACTTCTTCCTAGACACATCACCAAAAGCAAGAGAAGCAAGGGCAAAAATGAACTATTGGAACTTCATCAAGATAAAAAGCTTTTGCACAGCAAAGGAACCAGTCAACAAAACCAAAAGACAACCGACAAAATGGGAGAAGATATTTGCAAATGACATATCAGATAAAGGGCTGGTATCCAAAACATATAAAGAACTTATACAACTCAACACCCCTAAAACAAATGATCCAATTAAGAAATGGGCAGAAGTCATACACAGACATTTCTCCAAAGAAGACATCCAGATGGTCAAAAGACACATGAAAAGATGCTCATCATCACTTATCATCAGGGAAATGCAAATCAAAACTACAATGAGGTATCACCTCACACCTGCCAAATGGCTAAAACCAAAATCACAAGAAAAAACAAGTGTTGGTGAGGGTATGGAGAAAGGGGAACCCTCTTGCATTGTTGGTGGGAATGCAAACTTATGCAGCCACTGTGGAAAATATTATGGGGGTTCCTCAAAAAATTAAAAATAGAACTACTCTATGATACAGTAATTGCACTACTGGGTGTTACCTCAAAAATACAAAAACATCTATTGAAAGGGATACATGCACCCATATGTTTATTGCAGCATTATTTATAACAGCCAAAATTGGAAGCAGCCCAAGTGTGCATTGATGGATGTAAAAGATGTGGTAAATATATACAATCAAATATTACTCAGCTCCAGAAAAAATGAAATCTTGATATGTGCAAATAAATGGATGGAGGTAGAGAGTATAATGCTAAGTGAAGTAAGTTGGTCAGAGAAGGACAAATACCATATGATTTCATGGTGGAATTTAGGAAACAAAACAAGAAAGAAACAGGAAACAAAACAAGTACAGGAAAAAAGATGAAGAGAGACAAACCAAAAAACACTCTTTTAACTATAGAGAACAAACTGGTGGTTACCAGAGGGCAGCTAGTTTGGGGGATGGGTGAAATAGGTGATGGCGATTAATGAGTACACTTATCATGATGAGCACTGAGTAATGTATAAATTGTGAATCACTATATTGTACACCTGAAACTAATAAAATACTCTGTTATGTTAAATATACTCGCATTAAAATAAAGAGTAAAAAATAAAAATGTATAATATAAACATTATGTACCTAATTAATTATAACAGTTAATCCCATGAAGTGAGAATTAAAAGTGGCTATATAAAGTGGCTACATAAATACTTATGGTTATGCCTGAAAAAATAACACAAGGTTAAGTGTTAAGACTCATGCTTAGTTTATACATTTTCTAATGGAAAATTCCTCAATCTCTTTACAGTGGTAGTATAAATTGCAGATTAAGCCAGATGGGGGTGAAGAGTGGGGAAGAATATGTAAATATATTGCAACTGTGATGGTGAAGGACTTATCCTTTTATATTTCCTTGTGGGACCCTTATTCCATACCTTTAAGAAGGAATGAATTGTGCAGGAAGGCAAGGTACCTAGGACAACAGTGATGAAGCAAGAGCCTAGGGTCACTATGGCCAACAGCATGATTACCTATGTCTTTCTCTATCATAAATACTGGTAACTTCCAATTCCTGTCCTATAGCCAAAGGGGCCATCGAAAATATGTTCTGCTTTATCTCTGGGTAAGCTCCTGGTATGCCTCCTGAAAAATGCCATCCTAAACTTTCCACTCAATTCAGTATTCCTGGGAAAGTTGCTCAATTTATAGGTTTTTATGTAGTTCACTTTTAGATAGAAAGGATACAATTCTGACCAATACAATTTACAATACTATCTTACCTTTTTCTGCTGGGCTCAAAACAGTCACTGTAAAAAAAAAAGAGAAAGGTCAAAATTAGTGATATTTAAAAACATTTGTATTTTCCTTTTTTAAGATTTATTTATTTGAGAGAGAGAGTGGGAGACGGCGGGGGGGCAGAGGGAGAGAGAGTCTCAAGTAGACTCTGTGCTGAGCACGGAGCCTGATGCAGGGCTTGATCTCATAACCCTAAGATCACGACCTGAGCCGAAACCAAGAGTCAGATGCTTAATCACTGCACCACCCAGGTGCCACAAAACGTCATTTTTCTAATCCTTCTTTCCATAATATCATTTTTGAGCCATGTATTCAGTGGAATAACACTTTAGGAAACAACCAGCCTGCTAAGATGAGGGAAGACAAGGATGATTAAATTCCATCCTTTGCTATCTTTCTTCATCTTAAACCTGACTTAATAAGAATTTGTACTCATTCAACGAATACAGATGTAACCAGATTTTTAAAAATTCCACCAAATGGAAACTCTTGAGCTATATAAGGACTTAAAAGCCAATCAATTAGGAGATGACCATTCACTTTCTCAAAGTATTCACTATAGAACATCTTTAAATACCAAGCTTCTCTTATATATTTAGAGTTAATTTAGTGTGGAGGTTGCATGCCAGCTCTGAAGTCAAACTGCCTGAGTTAAAAACCCAGTTGCACTATTTTGTGACCTTAGGCAGGTTCCTTAACTTCCCTAACATTACCTACCTTACAAGGTTACTTGAGATTCAAACGAGTTAATGCATGTAACTGCTGTTTAACATAGTATCTAGCACAAGGCAAGGATTAAATAAATATTAACACTTCTTATTATATTTGAACTATGAATTTGTAGAATATCAGAACTGGAAGAAACTTTAGCGATTATCAGGTTTATCTGTCTCATTTTACAGCTGGGAAAAAAGGACTAGAGTAGTATTAAATGATTTGTCCAAGGTCACACAGAAAGTTAATGGTAGAGCTAGGAATAGATTCCAGCCTCCAAGGCTTTTTGCATGTACTGTATCTATACCTTCCCCAATCATTCTTTGCTGCCTTATGTGATGTATACATAATTTTTGCTCAGAATGTCATTTTAACAAAGTGAGGCCTGTTAGTCACCACCATCTGTGAGCATTTATACTAGGTGTTAAGGCAAAGTGAAACTATAAGCATGTCTTTCAATCTTGAGAAACTATTGAATTAAGATGGTTTTCAGGGGCGCTTGGATCAGTTGGTTAAGCATCTGACTCTTGATTTTGGCTCAGGTCATGATCTCAGCATCCTGGGATCCAGCCCTGCATTGAGTTCTGCACTGGGTGTGGAGCCTGCTTGAGATTCTCTCTCTGTTTCTCTTCCTCTGCCCCTCCCCCCCACTTGCATGTGCGAGCTCTCTCCCTCTCTCTCTAGAAGATAAAATTTTGTTTTTAACTAAAAAAAGACATAGTTTTCATACACAATGATAAATACTTAAGGTCAGAAAAATGGGGAAAAAAATCCAAACAGAGAATGATACTATATTCTAGGGGCTATTTCCTCAGTTATACTTTCTCTTTCTCTTCATTTCCAGGTCTATTTTTGTTGAGTCTTAAAAATTTATCCTTTTAGGGGCGCCTGGGTGGCTCAGTCATTAAGCGTCTGCCTTCGGCTCAGGTCATGATCCCAGGGTCCTGGGATTGAGCCCCACATCAGGCTCCCTGCTCAGCAGGAAGCCTGCTTCTCCCTCTCCCATTCCCCCTGCTTGTGTTCCCTCTCTCACTATGTCTGTCTCTGTCAAATAAATAAATAAATCTTTAAAAAAATTTATTCTTTTAATAATCATTTGGGTGAAATTTGTTAAAACTATTCTATTTTGTTTGTGCAAAAATCTAATCAGGTAATGCCCTCTTTTTTATAATACACCTGCCTGGAGATGGATACTAACTTTCTTTTTTCCTTTCCAGTTAAAAAAATCCTGGTTAAGAATGAATGAAAGAAGCACACACTCTACTTTGACAGTATAAATGAAAATGGAAACAAGAAGCCTTGGTGGATCAACCTAGGATTCATGGTTTTGCATATACATGTTGCATGACTGAATCAGTTGAACTAGGCTCTGAACTGGGTTAATAACATCTCCTTAAAATAGAGTGGGGGAGAGCAGAGTTGCTTGGAGACTAATCTTAATAAAGAGTGGCTAACAAATTGCTATTTGGTATATCTCTTTCTATCTCTATGGCTGAACAATCACTGGTAAGCAAAAAGCGGAGGTCCTAACTACCATTTGCTTGACCACTTGCTATAGTACTTGTGGGTGAGGGAATGCAATAATTCAGTGCTTTGAAGATGTTGGAACGAGACAATGTGTATACAGAAAAATGAGTGGAAACCAGTAAAGTTTCCAGGTGGAGAACAGCTATCTTTACATAATTTTATGTCTATCATGGTGCAAGTGGGATTGGTTTATATGATCAAGAACAGTGGCCAGAAGTAGAATCCATGGGTAAAAGCTACACGTCAACACATTTTAGCTCAATATAAGAAAAAAAAAGATTTTGATGATGGTGATGATGACAGTGACAACTATGACAATGATGGATTGGCAGCATTGGAAAGGACTGAGTTTCCCATTACACACACTTGGAAATGTTGTAGAGGACATTTACACATTAGTTAGACAGTGGACTTGACTTTTAAAGTTCCTTATATTCCTGAAATCTGTAAGGATTTCAATAAGCCTAAGGGAAAAAATATTTTCTTGCAAAATTCCCTGTTGGAAGTTACATACTTCTGAAGAAAAAAAGAAGGGCCTTTACTATAAAACATTGGGGCATTTATTTTGGCAGTTCTGCTTTTCCCTTAGTGATCTTTGTAATATTGCCTTTTTCACTATTAAAGGAAGAGACTAAGAATATGTCAGTCATATTTAAAAAGAAAATGTTATTGCTTGTGATGTTTAATTTTATGTGTCAACTTGACTAGGCTAAGGGATGCCCAGATAGCTGATAAAACATTATTTCTGGGTGTGTCAGTGAGAGTATTTCTGGAAGAGATTAGCATTTAAAGCAGTAGAAAATAAAGATCACCCTCACCAATTTAGCGTGAGCATCATTCAATCCTTTGAGGGCCTGAAAAGAACAAAAATGTAGAGGAAAGGCAAATTTGTTGTCTGACTGACCTCAAACATCTATCTTCTTTTGCAATCAGACATTGGTACTCCTGGTTCTCAGGCCTTTGAACTTGGACTAAAACGTACACCATTGGTTCCCCTGGTTCTCAGGCCTTCAGATTTGTACTGAAATTACACCACTGGCTTTCCTGGGCCTCCAGCTTGCATAAGACAGATCATGTGACTTAACCTCAGTAATCACATAAGCTAAGCCCTTGTAATAAATCCCTTTTTAAATATTTATGTATATTTTATTGGTCTTGTTTCTTTAAGGAACTCTAATAGACTGCTACAACATGGATGAAGCTCAAAAACATGCACAGTGAAGAAGCCACATACAGAAGACTGTATATATTGTACAATTCCATTTGTATGCATGTCTAGAAAAGGTAAGTTTTAGAAAGAGAAAGCAGATCAGTGGTTGCCTAGGGCTAGAGGTGAAAGTGAGGTGCTGCAAATGGACAAGAAGAAACTTCTGGGGGTGACAGAAATGTTTTGTAACTATACCAGGTGATGGTTGTACAATTCTATACATTTATGAAAATCACTGAACTACATACCTACAATGGGTGGGTTTTATGGTATGTAATTTATACTTTAATAAAGCTGTTTAAAAATAATAAATAAAATGAAAATGTTACAAGAGTCATTATAAACTTTTACAAAATTAATCTTTTATCATGAATCTCTTGGATAAGTGTACACTTAGTCATTCTATGGGTAACTTGTCATGCATGAATGTATAGTGAAGTGGTGATATGTGTAATTATACACCTGCTTTGTTCCTTCAAATTTTAGCTCACTACTGGGAAGTTAAGTACTTGGAGTTATCATCAAATAGATTTTTGCACTGTTTCTCCTTTTATCTTTCACCTAATTACTGATCCTTTGCAATTAGGTATGGAGAAAAGGTATGGAAATGTGGAGTACATGCAAGGACATTTCATCACAGATAATTAGTGTTAAAAACAAAGCATATTTCATAAGTTCCTTTAAGTAAATGCACATTGTAGGGTTCCCAAAAGGGGAATGTTAGAATAATCTTAATTTGAGGCTAGATGGAGATGGTCAACAAATGTAGTAGAAAGGACATGGAAGAAATTCTACAACAGTGCTGACCAATAAAAATATAATACAAGCCATGTAATTTATTGTTCTAGTAAGAACATTTCAAAAATTTAAAAAATACCAAGTGAAGTTAACTAATAATAACTAATAAATACTTTTAGTCCAATATATCAAAAACATAGTTTCAACATGTTATGCACATAAAATTATTAATATTTTACATTCTTCTTTTTGTATGAAATTTTTGAAAGCTGGTGTGTACATTAAGCTTCAGCACATCTCAATTCAGATGCCATTTTTCAAGTGTTTAATAGCCACATGTGGCTAGTGGCTACCAAATTAGATAGTAAAGCTCAAAAGGACTTGTAAAAGGAAAGGGGGAAGGTTGAAAATATGAGTCTATTGAGATGAATGTTCACTCACAATATGAAGTTCTCTTTTAATTAATGACTCATTTGGGAGGGGAGTTTATTGTAGTGATGTATTACATTTACTTTGGCATGTACTCATATTGTGGCTCTGCCACTTACTTGTTCTGTGGCCCTAGGCAAATTGTTTAATCTCTCTGGGCCTCAGTTTCTTCACCTGTAAAATGAGGATAAAATGTTGTTATAGAAATTAAATGATAAAATATGTGTAAAGTGCTTTTGGTGTCTGGTATATAATAAGTACTTAATTATTGTCAGCTATTTATTATTCTTCTGAGAAAGGTAAGCCTTTCACTAAGATTAGGTTTTAGAATAGTTCAGGATAAAATAAGTCTTATTTAAAAATGTTGTTTATCATAGCAATCCCAAAGTTTCATAT